GACCAGTACTCAACGATGACAGTAGGAAGTAGTTGAGCTATATATATTGCAGGAAAGTCTCTTCTCACAGCCTGAAGGTCTGGAGTTTCATTGTCACTGGGCTCATAGGTTTGTACTACTGAAAAGTACCGAAACTACCATAAAACAGGTGTTCAACACTCACCAGTTTTCATTGGTCCTACAAATAAAATCGGTTCAAGGTGTAACTTTGTAAAATATGTCATTCTTTTTGTCTTAACACTTGTTTTTACATTAAAGAAAGGAAGAATTTGCAGTATTTATTAATGTAATCCCCCATTAACAACTAAAAGTGTATATACAAGTGAAATAAGTTATCCAGAATTAGTGGATTTTATTTATTGTCGTTTCTTAACCGATGTGTTGTTTTCATTTTCTTCAGAGGGTAATAGTTCATATGATAGTAGAGGGGATTACTCTACATTAGATCGTTGAAAGTAATCGACAAGAAGCCTTGGACTTGCAGCACTGGGTGATGCGGGTTCGAATCTTAGAAGGAACATGAGTTCCTCCAAGGTTGCAAACACGCCTTACTGACTGGTGAGTGCCAACTAACTACCACGAAACCCAGGTCAAGTAGGACTTCCTGCTGATTACCTCCAACCATCTGATATCAACACTTCAAAGTGCACCATGAGGGCGAGCCACCTAATGGCATGGTGGCCACATTAAAAACTTGACTGATAGAATTCAGTCTGCACCAAACAAAAGACTAGACATATTGCCCTATTTAGTAACGAGTGTGCAATCAAAAGGATTACCCAATAGTCTATGTATGCATTACTTGTGTAACGGAATAGTAAATATATGTGTAAAACTTGGCCACTATGGTAGTAAGTAATTCCATATTAGTTTGTTTATTAGATATATCACACAGTGAAACAGTCGTATTATTTACTGGATTAAATTTCGAACAAAATTTATTACTGTTCATAATCATGTCATCAATTGTAATCACATGACTTCGAAACTTGAGTTTTATGGTTTTCTTGGTTCTCTCCTATTTGTCGTCGTAGGTGTGGTAGTAGAATTTTCCAGATGTCTGGCTGAACAGGTGTTGAATCATTCTTGTTACATGTATTTGCAGTTGATTCGATAAACAAAGCTTGTGTTATCAATCTCTCCCTACACCCTGTGACGTTGGATTTTAGAACTGTCATCTTATCCCACCAGGCTATTTTATGGTTGTGTGTAATTGCACGTAGTGAGTGCTATAGCTGAAATGTTCTCTAGATTTCTTATCTTATTCGGGTCAACTAATCCAGATTTTGCTAGGTTTTTATGCTCGGCTAGTCTGCCTGCCCCTGTTCTACTACTTTGACCTATGTACTTGACCTGCCAACCATTCCAGTAGGGTATTAGATAAACTAAATTGTTTTGTCCTAAAGGCTTTAAAGGATCCTTTAACCGACAAAGCTTGTTTCTAAGTGAGTTTGTGGGTGATTGAATGCCAGCCACTCTTATTCCTGCCTTGTCAAGAATTCTGCGTAAGCTTTCGGAGGTTCCTTCTTCGTATAGAATTACTACTGATGATTTAGATCCCTTATTCTTGGTGTTGTCTTGCGCATATTTGACATGCATATCATGTCATTAATATTAATGTCACTATCACTACTATCATTATTTATTTTATTTCTACATTTCCCTACAAATATGAATAATGGAATAGTTGTTTGGAAAGTAGTTCCTGAACGGTCTAATTACAATATTGCTACCTTTTTGTATCCTAGATTGTATATCATTGTTCTGACGTTCACACACCATCTGCTGAATTCATTGTTATTACTATTTGTCTTTCCTTCTATTTAATCTGCAGTTGTAAAGTTTCCTTCGGTAGCTGCGTAATGGATAATATTGATAATGTGTCATTTTTGCAACTCCAATTTTGTTTGAATGAATCATGTTGATTCTGACAAGGGATTGTTTGAGAGCATTTCTTTTTTGGTGTGTGATTCTTGCTGACAGAATTATGATCCCACCTTATTGGGAATATTCCTCTTCTTTTTCTTCTTCCTCTTCTCGATTCTCAAATACTTTATACGGCTAAATTTTAGTTATATAATTCTGTTTTTTAGTACTTGTTTTGTACTCGAGGAAGAATAGGATCTGTATAGCTGACAAACGGTATTGTTCAGATAACTCTGCTTTTCGATATACGATGATTGTCGAATAGTACAGAAGATTTTATTGCAAATAACTGTCCTTTTGCTATTGTTGAAGCATTTTGTGACTGTGCGTACGTAACTCAAGGAAGTTTTCATTAGCTTTACAGTGGAACACACAGAGATCGGTTCCCTGTGTTCAGACCACAAGATGTCGGTTTTATTCGTTACGCGACAGGTACAAATCTGACTGATTTGAGCCTTGTTTTGCAATCATTTTCTTACTTATACATCAATCAGTCCGTTCAAATGAACGTATCGAAGATAGCCTACTAACAACAAGGTTTATCGGGGTATTGTATTGATGCTTACGAAACTATTCCAACATATTCAAGTGTTGGTTTGCAGGGATTTGACTAGTTTCGGGATTTCATCATGAACTGATATCGGTTAGAGGACCATTGCAAAACCTACAGGGAGTACTGGACACCTGTTTCCCTCCAGTTTGTTAATCTTCATCAGTACACATGCACCACCGGAGGGGTTCCAACCAAGGACCTTCTGATTACAAAGCTAGCGAGGTTGTAGATCGTTGAGCCCCTGCGATTTGTTCCAATGGTCAGCTGATGATTCCAACTTCTGATAATTCACGACATAGCACGACCACTAACGAATGTCATCGGCGGTGAGTACTTGTCTTCACACCCAACCTGCTTTACCCTACTGGTTATGACTTCCCACTAGAAATTCAGATAATTACCTGAGCTGAATAGAGCCAGTCACCAGTGAGTATAAGATTGAAATTAAAAAGGATTAGTTTGCAGGCATTTGAGTGGTTTTAAGATTTCATCCAATTCCACCATAAGTAAATAAACAACAACAATAAATAAGTAAATAAACAACACCACAGCTATTGAAGCTTCAGAGATGAAGCATACAGTCATATGCTCCACTTGAAGAACATGGAAAGAAAAAAACGCCACTTTATTGTTATTATTAACATTTATTATCCCCCTTGAGTTTCGAGTGCAACAAAGGGCTTCAACAACACATCTTCATTTTACTGTGTTCTCTGCAGTCCTTTACGGCTGACCACCCTACAACTGCCTATAGGTTCTCATTTCAACTTCACACAATCTCCTTCATCTCACTCTCATGGTTTCCCATTTGCGTCCCATTCGAGATATGGTCTTGAGCGCTATGTCATGCCACGGTTGCTTCAGCATGTGTACGTTCTGTCTCAATTTTCTTTTGCATATTTGTTGACCTATAGATACAGAACTTATCCCATATAGTGTGCCTGAGAATAATCGAATATAGTTAGAATCACTGGAAAAACGTCCTGACGAAATTGTCGACTAATCATACAGACAGCAAATAAAATTTATGATCATTGAAGAAATCGACTTTTGATATATTCAAAAATTTTTTTTCAGATTTCATTAGGAGTGACTGATAAACTTAGGTAAGCTTGAAATGTTTTCATTTATTTCTGTTTAATGTCATCAATAAATATAAACGTGCTTTGAGACTGAAGCTGTTGTCCTGAATTTCTAACTACTTCGTATGGCGTAATTTGTCAGACTAAACTTTTGGGCTTAGACTTTATACTACTAGCGATCAGTCAAAGTAGTATGAAAATCAAACCCACAATTTGTAAACTAGGTGAAATTTCGTCGGATACTGAAATTATTTCCAGTACAATACATGATCTGATTGATCTCCTAGAAGTGCCAATTATAAAAGCAGCCACAAATGTAAGACATCATATACTACTGACAATTGGATACCACTCACAACAACCAATAGTACTGAAGATAAAATGGCCAGAAAGAATTAGTAACAAGAAACTCTGGCCGGCAACAAACCAACCAACAGGCGAGAACCGATTGGTCATCAAATATGTAGGAAAAAATGTAGATGGATTGATCGGGCATACGTTGAGGCGGCCATCGAATGACATCGCGCGCGATGCAGGCCACTGATAGAGTGGAATCCCAATGGAATGTGAAGAGTGGGTCGTCAGTGCGAGGGTGACATGGAGGAGATCGTGAGGGGAGGAGGAGATGAGTGATTATGGTCAATCGTGGGGCCAGTTGAAGAGGACAGCAGGGAATAGAAGAAAGTGGAGATGTGTTGTTGAAGAGAGACATATGTTCCACTCAGAACCAAAGGGAATAATAATAATAATAATCTCCATAGTCATTCTGTCACTCTATCTCTTACATAGTTCAACGAACTAAGACTGGTTCATAGTGTTCTTATCATACATCAGCAAAATGATGGAAAGTCAAAAACTAAAGACTGAAGTAATCCATTTGTGAACAAAAAGATAAGATTGCACAATATAATACACAGACATAAAATATCCTTCCTCTTTTTCACAGAGTAACATAAAAAAACGCAAAATGTTAACAATGACAGGTGCGTCGAAATGATTCGATGACACAGAATGCTTGCCAGCCACGAACTTGCTCAGCTTTTCCTCATCCCCAATTGACGTAATATCAGAAAGCACACCTAATGTTTACTAGACAATAAGTAAGTCCGGTGTAGAAATAGTGGGGAGGTTGGGCGGGAGTAAGGCTAACACTCCCACCTTGTAAACAGGAAAGAACACCACTGCTAATGAGACTTTAAAAATGCTTGAAGGCGCTTCCTAATGTTCAACTCTGAACACAAAGGGATGAAGAAATCCAAAAAGAGGAGGAAAAAATTATAAAAAAAACAAGTAAGAAACAGTTTTATTATTCACTTTCTAACCCGTTGTTGTTCCATGTGTGTTCCAAATATACAGAAACAAGTGACAGTGTGTGTGGAGGGTTGGGGTGGGCGTGGGTGCAGTATATATCTCATACGATTTCTTAACTTCCAATAATTTCACTTGGTCTGAGTCTCCAGAAGTTTACTGTAACGATCCTCTATAACAAAGAAACAAATAAATTTTAAAAAAGTATTGTCAGAATTCTTTCATACAACATGTACACTAACTCTGAACTGCGTTGAAACTAAGAATATTCTCATGCACACACACAATTAACTTGCCAGACGTTGAGACTAGTCGGCTCCACTAAATTTGGTGTGAGGATAAATATTCACTGTTGTGGCATATATATCACCGATTAGCAGAAGATAGAATTCATGCGATATTGGATTTCGTACCAGGGGGCTGAACAGTCAGAGGACCTGGGGGATCAATCCTATGGGGTCACGGGTGAGCACTGCTGAGAACTCGCAAACCAAATTCAGAGTCATCTACAAAATATGCTGAAATCTTGTTAACTCCTGAATAATCCATAGAAAAACCTTTTTTCCAGTCATTGAACTTACAATGGATCTAGTTTATCTCAACATAGCATGCATAATTTTTTCAAAATTCTATCCCCCCCCCCCTATTATATTTCTGTAACAACAAAAGGCAAGGGTCAGGAAACAGATCGTTTATTAAGGAAATCAACGCATATTTATATATATTTTCATGTACATTACTATGGATATTTAAGTAAACAAACACAGTCTTCCGATTGTTTGTTTCTCACTGAAAGTTAATCTTTCATCTCTTTGTGACTGTTTCTTGAATGTCAGATCATCATCTATATGTTAACTGCATCCGCCTACGCAAAGTCTGCTGTGGTCGGTTTTGAATCAATCTTTGTTCACATTTTCTCACTACAAATCTTGGGAACGTAAACATTGACGTAAATTACTGTCTACCAATTTGGCTAGTAGACAGCTCTCACCACATTTCTACCCTTTATGACATTGATCTCGACCTTCTTTCGATTTTAGTCGAACTCCAGTCAAACCTGTTAATTATGTTACGTCACTCAATTTACTTAGATTCTCCATTATGGATAAAATTTTATTTTGATAGAATCAGTGTTATACAGAAAAATATTTACTGATGACAACGTTTCGAGCACAGGTTATTACTGCTCATAATGATATCAAGTCACTCACACGACCTTCTTGCTTTATTTATACACATGAGTAAAAATTGCTGATGATTAGACATTTTAATAAAATCAATATAAGATGATAAAGTACATTCGGGAATAATATTAGTGTTGTCAATCAGATACAATCAGATGGGAAATAAGATGTTTTTGTAGCAAAATAAATAACTTGTTAGAATGTTATAATGTGAATTGATAGAATACACTTAAACATTATTTATTATCCTCTGACTTGAATGGTGGTTATAGTATCTTCCACATCTCTGGTATTTGCGTTGAGTCACTTCCATTGCATGTGTTGGGTGTGGATTAGATGAACAAGGATTGAGTAATCAATCTATCTCCATCTCCACCTACCTAGATTACTTTTTAGAATCTTAACCCTCTCCCCCACACACTATTGTGTGGTTGTGTTTTAATGCATGCATTGCAATTGCTGAGTTTTTTCTAAATCATTTATCTTCGTGGGTGGGAGCAATCATTCTAACCTTAGCTAAATTTTTATGTTCTGATAAACTCACCATTCCTTATCTACTAGTTTGACCTATGTAGTTGACTTAGCTCACAGTCGTTGCAGGGTATTTTGTAAATTATATTGTTTTGTTTAATTGGGTCAACCTACAGGGTTTTTTAACCTACAGAGCTTGTCTCTGAGTGAGTTTGTAGGAGGTTTTGAATGCCATCCTAATTCCTGGTTTATTGAGAATCCTATGTAGGGTCTCCGATCTCCCCTCCCTCCTTATATGGTAAAACTGTAGATGCCTTAAATTCTCTCTTATTTATGTTATCATTATTAGTTTCCCCATTATTTTATTTTGCTTTTGACCTTTTTTGATATTCCTAATGAATTTTATAGGATAGTTAGTTATTTGACACCAACGCAATAATTTGTGCTCGAAACGTGGCCACATCAGTAAATATTACTCCACAACAATTAATGATTTTATCAAAACTAAATTTCACTCATAATGGAGTTATACTCTACCACAGTCTCCAAGTTTTATTTTTATATCAATATTACCTACATTCTTTTCTATTTTGGCTTCAACCCCGATTAATGCATTTTGTATTACATAATTGTTGTCTAAAACTTACAGTTTCAATGACACATCTTTAAAAACATTCCTTTTGTTATTATGAGAAATATAGTATACATTTGCCATTGTACAGTATGCGAATGGTATCACTAAGTTGCCTTGGCACTGTGGTAGTAAGTAATTCCATATTAGTTTGTTTATTAGATATATCACACAGTGAAACAGTATTACTGTTTACTGGATGACGTTTCGAACAGCATTTATTGTTCAATTGATATGATTATGAACAATAAATTTTGTTCGAAACGTCATCCAGTAAACAGTAATACTGTTTCACTGTGTGATATATCTAATAAACAAACTAATATGGAATTACTTACTACCACAGTGCCCACGTTTTACACATATATTAACATGACCTATGGTCTTCCGGTAGTGGTACTATTCTAGAAATATTTCAGGTCAAAGGTCAAATTAAAAAAATTACAATGTATAATAACCAGGAAGGTCGGGTAGAAAAGGCATAATAAGATCATAATTACTAGAAAACTCGTCAGTTTGTATAATTATGGATTAAGGATGTAGTATTAACAAAATAGGTAGGAGGTTCGGACATATAAAATCTTAAAAAACAGTAACCAAATCTAGTAATGCAGATAGGAATTGAAAACATAAATATAACAGAAATAAACAGGAGGCTTAGACAAGAAGGTAATTGGACAATCATTATTGTTGGGACTGATTTCTCATGATAGTCATGGTAGGGACAACAATGGACGTATTTCTTTTGGACACATAGAGTAGGTTTGAGTTTTTGGATCGCCAGTGCTTCAGTTATTCCTATTTCTATCATCTCAACTTACACATGCACCCCAATACAGTTTGTGATATTATTTTCATTTGCCTTTATTGGCTACATGTACTCTATTATTCATGGATTTATAACTGTAGAGCCTGAAGAAGAAGTTATCGAAAACAATTGTTCGCTCAAAATCTTGTTTTATTCCTAGATGCTTTGATTCCACTCCCTTCTTGGGAGAGGTTTGATCGAATCTTGTATATAACTTGGAAGGACTTTTTTAAAAACAGGAGCTGAATGTCCAGATTTCACCAGATGTTCTGTTATCGAACTGTATACCCCTTTGTGTTCTCCCTTTGCTAACCATGCTGGATAGTGTTCCCAAGCACGTTTTACAAGCGGAGGCATGATACGGTCAATGTATCAGAATAATTGTTAAGAAAATCTTTCCTCAACGACCCAATTACAATATTTATGCTTATTTGGATCTTTCAACTAACTTTGTAATTACTAACCCTTTTTCTCCTAGAATATGCATCTCATTGTCTGGACGTTTGCATATCATCTGTCGACGTGATCCTTAGTATTTGTCTTTGTTCATGTTCAACCTGTAATTTTAACGCTCCTCATTGTGGTTGTGTGATGGATGATATTAATAATATGCTGCCTTACGACTGTGATTTTGTTTGAGTGAGCCAAGATCATTCTGAATTGGGACTGTGTTCAGGAATTTTTTGATGCATGATTCCTCTGGACAGAGCTTTGATCACAGTTTGTTAGGAACATTCTACTTGATTCTAAAGTAGTTCTTACGGTTGATTTGTTTTTTAAAGTTCCTTTACGTTCCCAGTGGAACGTAGGGCGCCTTCAAGCTAGAGGGCTGAAGTTTCGGTAGCAGTGTTATTTATGACTTTTACGGGATGGGGTTACTAGCCTCATGGCCCCAACCTTCCCTCTTTACCAGTCTTATTACTTAATGGCTTAGCGAGGTAAAGGAATGCGTCGGCTGGGGATCGAAACCCGGACCAAATGCATGATCAGCGAATATCCTACCGCTGTGCCATAGACATGTGTCTTAATAATCTAAATTCTAACTAAATAATTTCTTACTTCAACTCGTGACTACATACATGATAATCATGATACACATATATACATATATATATATATATATATATATACTTCAAAAGAAATCAAAACTAACTAATTTTGTGCCTGGGAAATAATTTAATCTGTATAGCTGCCTAACAGCATTGTTGAGGTAATTCTGAGTTTTGATATTTTATTACTGTTTCATGTGTGCGTCGGTGGCACAGTAGTAGAATGCTCGCCAACCGCACCAGGGTTCGATCCCCGGCCGACGCATTCCTTTACCTCACTAAGCCAGTAAGTAATAAGAATGGTAAAGAGGGAAGGTTGGGGGTCATGAGGCTAGTAACCCATCCCGCAAAAATGAAAAGTACCACTGCTAGCGAAACTTCAGGCCTCTAGCTTCAAGCCCTATGTTCCACTGGAAACATAAGGGAATCTTATCCCAAGTAACTGTCTTTTCACTATCATTGGGGTATTTTTGAACTTCGCACAACTAAAGGAACTTCTGGTTAGCCATACAGTGGAACGCAAAGATTAGTTTCCTATATTCAGACCATAATATGCCGGTTTTATCCATTACAATGATCAAAGTCCCTAGTATGAATCATGAGGCTCTAATTTAGAATTTAGACATGAAAATTAGTCGAAAACCTGAGGAGTATTCTAAACCGCATGAAGAAACTGATTACTTAATATAAAACCCCTTTGTTGCTGCTTCTTCAGAAATTAACAGAGAAAACACCCAGTCAATAACCGCTACCTTGACGTGGTTGGTGGTCAGAATTGCATATCGAAATTACCCAAAGAGCTACACTAGTTGAAACTGATGATCCTGTAGGTCCTACCATACTAGAAAGGTTCTTTGAACTGTAGTTATTGACTGAAAGCAGTTACCAGAATACCGTGAGTCATTCACATCATTATTATGGATCCTTGGGAAAAGTCGTACCAGCTGACGAACAGAGATGTAGCAGAAGTAAAGTGTTTCAGATGACCTGTCTCTTCAGTTTGGATAATTGGGGTTAGAAAAGGTTGACCGCGAGAATTTTACACTCACACTTACATTGCGGCAGTCTGTTTAATGTGGACAAAACTCTAAAAACATGTCACCATGTATAACCGACTTCAAACAGTTGTCCCCTGGGCTCTGAGATCGAGCAACACGAACGATCCTTCTGCTGTTTAAGATATCCAAAGAGGCAGCCATCGTGCACACACACACACCCTCACTTCCCTAAGTACACAAAAATCTCTTAACCACTACCTATCACACCTGTTTTCTCATCAATCAGCGCAGCTAAACATCACATAGCATTATTTGAATGATGGTGACTGCCAATCGGGGAATCGATGACGCGTTCTGCGCTTCACATTTAGCCCTCATCAGTTGACTTTACCTACATTCCCCTAGTGAGTGATACTGTTCCCACCAAAACTCGTCATTTCAAAGCTATATCGACTGCACAACTGGGAAATTCAAAACAGTCATTTCTAAATCAAGTAACCTACACGAATAGACAGTTATTTGAAAACAACTTTGGCTGATGTCGGAATAGCAGCAGTGGGAACCAGGAACGCCAGTTTCATCCCTTTTGAAAAGAGTCTTCATCTACCTATAACAGCATTCTTAGTGACCGTTTCTACTGAGATCTCAACTCAAAAACCCATCGTTTCAAACGTTGAATCATTATCTCTACTAGATCACCAGGGGCCACGAAAGCTACCTCTTGTTTACATTTCCCACGAATAGAGACGGAGAATTTCTCTCCTCACCAAAATTCGCGGTTTGTTTGAAGTAAATCAGTATGATTCCAGCGTAAGTTTAAAAAAAATAACAACCTGAATTGAAACGGTACTAAGTCTTTAATCCTTTTGTAAGCAAGGAAAGACCGATGATGTTCGATGAATGTTTACTGGGACAAACTCATTGTAGGTACATAAATCCGGGCCCCGACCGATCCGGCATGATATTTTGTGATTTTGTTTGAGTCATAGCATTGGATTGGGTTACTGCTTTTTGTCTAACCGCTATCAAAGCAACCTTTCTGGCATGGTAGGACCTCAAGCGATATAAGTCTCAGGCAGTATAGCTTGTTGGGTCATTGCGGTGTTCAAGCCCGACCACCACGTCAAGGTAGCAGCTTTCGGTGGGGGTGCAGGTGCAGGTTGGAAAAGAGTAAGTGGTGGCCAAACAAAAACATGGCCTCATCAATCCATGAAATCCCTGACAATTAAACTGAGTCAGGTAGGGAGATGCAGACTTCCGGGTTGGTGGGGCCCTCGGGACTCTAAGAATCAATGGCTGGAGACAATAGGTGACATGGCTCAAAATCGTTGTCAATGGCTTACGCAGATGTATTCAGTCTCTGTAATCTTTCATATTCCTTTCTACTATTACTCATTCTGTTTCACTCTTATACTTGTCAAAACTCTATTGATTCTCTTCACTCATTCTCTTGTCTACCTTTGTGTGCTATTTGGAACGTGGCAACTCGAACTGCTGCACTTCGGTGCCAAGTTCTATGTTGAATCCAGACAGACATACATTCACATAATATAAGATAAAAAACGAGTCAAAGTGTTACATTTCACAATTGCAAATTAATCACAGAATGTCTTTTTCGGGTTGATATTTATGGGAAACTAATTAGTCCTATGATTATGTTGGCGTCTTCTTTCAACATGCTTTTTTGTGGTTTTCCTAGTTTGGGACTCTTCATCAGCACCCACCCATCGGGGTTCAAGCCCAGGACCTCCCGGTTCAGCCAGTGGGACCCGACTCAATGGCCTATAAATCTCATTTTCTGCCTATTCGCCCTATATACATGGCGCAACCGTCAGCCAGTATCAACGGCGAGTAACTATTCCCCTACCTAACTTGCTGGATTGATGCCAGCTCTTAATCAAAGCTATAACCAATCAAATCCGTACAAACAGACACTTGGAAGTTAATCTGATGTTCAATAGCGACTGGCTGTTTACAGGAAGTTACATGGAATTCTAGTGAGAAGTCGTGATCAGTGGTCATTCGCCTGTGACATTGGCTTGCGGTTGCTCTGTATATATGTCGCAAATTGACAGAAGTTGGAATTTATGGACCACTGAGTCGGATCCTAGTGGCTGAATGGTCTGCGAGGTCGCCGTGTAACCGTAAGGTTCTAGGTTCGAACCCGGCATTGGAAGAGAAAGCGCAGGATAAGGATGAGATTTTTGGCAAATATATATATATACTATTTATATCTGATTATAAGTAGCACTCACCACACTTTCACTATTTTTTTATTCTTTTGCTTTCCAAGTTGAATCATAGGGATTCAATTCTGAGGTTTGACGTTCCGGTAACCTCAAGCCTAACTTTCCCACTTTAACGGGCTTACCCATCCCCTAGGTGTGTCACAAGGGGATAGAAATCTGAACCATTTGGGAGAATATATTCCATCATTGAACAAGCAACTCATATACATATACTTTCAGTAGCGTTAAATATTTAAAAATATATGTAAAGAATTTAAACGCCTACCTAATTGTTTTGTTAACATGTCAATTTCAGACGCTTTCTTCTCCAGCTGTTCAATATCCTGATTGAAATGATCAATTTTCTTTAAAGCATCATGCAGAGAATCAACTTGAAGGAAATTTTTTTTAAAAAAAGAAGGAAGAATCAACATCAATTTTAGTGCATTGTTAAATGAAGTAAAAACAGCCAATGAATAAATCAATAAACAATGTAGTAAGACTTACATCGATTATTCACATCAGTTAACTTTCTTGTCATATCATTTGTACTTGTAGTTAATTCCATATAACGTTCAGTTGATGCCTTATTCATACGTGTTAAGATATTGACATCAGAAAGTAAACCTGAGGAGAATAAACACAGTAAAATAAAGAATGGAATGTATACCATGATGTTATTTGGCTGATTGGTAACTAAACAGTAGAATCTGGAAGGCGGCATCTCATTCCATTGTGGCGGAAATGTGGTTTATTGGTGGATTATGCAGAAGCATTCGGTTTTCAGTCGACAGGCGTCACTGTTACGAGTCCCGCTCCTGGGAACAATTGGGTGGTATCATCAGCCCTCACACGATAGGTGTAGCTCATAGAGTGGTGTATAACCACAACAGACACTTCGTCCCATTTGGGACTCATCGGTGGTAACGCTATGACGACTGCCTCTAACCACCACCTAATACCAACAATTCATAGTGCACTGTAATAGCGAGCCACCTAGCATGGTGGCCACATTGCAAGCGTGACTGATAGAATTCAGTCTGCACCGAAGACAGGACTAGACACATTACACTAGTTATTGACTAGTGTGCAATCAAAAATATCCAATACAGTCCTACAGGATGTCAGTCGCGAACCTGAATAACTTCAGTGGTAACGTCTCTGACTGCAGGCGGCACTGGGTGACGCGGGTTCGAGTCTCAGAAGGGACATCAGTCCCTTCAAGGTTGCAGATACGCCTTGCTGATGGGTGGCAACTAGCACGAAACCTAGGTCCAAGGCTTCCTGTGGCCGACTGCCTCCAACCACATAATACCAACAATTCATAGGATACGGGTACATCAAGCTATATAAGCTTCTTCATCTTATGATAGATTAAACCAGGAGAATCTATACGAATTGGAAAAGTGCCTTTCATTCCGATTGGTCAAATCACAAACACTACATTTGCAAACACTGAATAAACACCGTATAGTTAATTCTTTGTGATTATTCCAGGCAGTGATTTGTGTAACTTCCTCAATGGTTTTAAACAATGCTCAAAGTTGGGCTGGACTGTTATATATATATATATATATATATATATATATATATGTTTACACAACTGGTAGAGAATGAAATTATTGCGCAGTATGTCTACTGCTTGAGTAAAACTCCGGACTACTCTTCTCTGTCAAACAAATTTCTTTGCAGTCTGAGAAGTATGACAGCAGGCAACGCATTAAAAAGGACCGATTTCAATACAGAACTTTGCACACAAGTGCACTAGTTCAAGTTGCTACACTCTCCATCTAGCACAAAAAGGGAGACAAAAGACAGGAAAAAAGAAACTGAGAACGATTTGGAGCCATATCACCAATTTTCGCCAGCCATTTATTCTTAGAATACCGACGACCCCAACCACGTAGTACTCTGCACTTGCCTACATGGCCAACTCAAACTAACGATAAAAGGTTTCAGGTTTTACTTGACCACCACTAGCTCTTTTTTAACTTAATCCTATGCGAATTAATATTGATCAATGGACTAGACATGCGTAACACATGTCTTAACCATCTCAATAGATGTGGCTTCCCAACCTCATCTATTAACTTTCCCTCTTTAGCTAACATTCCACGCCTGACCTCAATATTACTTACCCTATTATACCACTTAAAACAGGAGTTAGAACACAGACACCTATGATCGAAAATAGCTAACCAGGCTTTTCATGTCTTCCACTTCACAATGGTCATGTCTCACTCACAGTCATATGGGAGGAGGGGACGAACTAGTGCGCAGTGCACACGCTCTTTGATCGACAGCCAGAAATAACGTCTATGGCGTAAGTTGTATCTGCAAAGAGAGATTTCGCCAGCAACCAGTCCGTCGGGGCCGATGAAACTTCCCAAATAAATGAAGTGGTCAGCACGCTCCACCACTTCACGCCATATCTTTAAGCTAGGAGTCAATGTAGTCCAGTCTTGTAATATTGTCTTATACTTGACAGGAACAAATCGTATCCTGAATATTTGAAGATTGCTGCTTGATGTGTTTAGAAGATTCTCCATTCTGGCAGTGTCTTCACCTAAGAGGACTATATCATCTGCACATCCTAAGTAAATAAGACTTTTCCCTGGTAGCAAGTCAATTCTATGCCAATATCCCGATGATTAGTATACATAATGTGAATAAGTCATGTTTGTAAAAACACAACAACAAAGTTTAATTTAGCAGTTAACCAGATTAACTGCTTCTGAATTTCTCTACATAAAATTATCTCATTGTTCAAATATTATTCTCGATTATACTGCCTATTATACAGACCAAACAATTAACATAGGGCTTCCTGCTTGTCATTCGCTTGGATGACCTAGAACATCTGTTGAGTAGAGGAAGCTGGTAACTTCCTGTAACTTCTGCTTTTTACGGTTAACGTAAAATGTTTCCTATAAAATGCTAGAACAAACCATTCTCTTTTTCTTCTTGTAAATGTACTTTACCGTGTTCTAGCTTACGTAGAGGGCTAGGTAAATCACCTAGCTGTTGTATAACGTCGTGATTACTATGTCTGTCACGAACTCGGCGTCACTAGTCAACGCTACGTTTTTACAATAAATGAAACCACAAAAACTCCTTATCTGTGAAGGTAGTTGTTTAACTTAATTCCAAAGTGGACATTGCGGCCTTAGATACTAGCGTGACAAGAATAAGCGAATTCTAACATTCGGCGATTACAACCAGACACTAACTGGCGGATATCCAGGTCTCCCTAGAGGAGCTAGAAAGCCCTGATTCCACACGTATGATGTACATGGGCTCCAGAATCCGAAAGGATCGAATGACGTATGAGTCCGTGTCATTCACCTGGTACTGCTCCATTTCTTTATGAATCAGATTTCAAGTCAAACACTCTGGAGTGTGGGGAGGGGGGCTTAAGACAACCACCTGCGTCAGTTTGGGCATCCGGACAGTATCTCAGCCAGCGCACAAACTATGAGATTTTGTGCGGTGCATCTTTTCGTCGCCCGTAATTTACCAAGTTTATGTTCTAGTCACAAAAAAAAAACAAAAAAAGTAAATGCAAACAAAACATGCTAATCAATTCATCCCGACTTATACATCGGATGGCAAGTATTCCTCCAATCTGATTCTTACAGGCTGCTTGGTTAGCCATCCAGCTTCAACTCTCAACCCCATAACAGTTATAATAATAATAATAATAATAATAATACGAAATCAGACCCACATTCAAAATCATATTCCAGATAATCTCGAACAGCTTCAACAGCTCGACTAATCGCTGAATGCCCAGCTGTAGTGGTATCCTTTTCATCCGTGAACTTGTCACTCTTGTCTTGTAATTTATCATTTCCTTGAGATGTCACTTCCATTTTGAAATAGGTGAGATTCTTCCTTCTTTTTATGGGCCTCAGATTCTACTTTACTCTCTGTTTGAGTAATCTGAGTTTAGAAGAGTTTTAAGTCATTAAAGAATCCAACGTTTAAATCCCAATTGACGGACAATGTTGTTGGCTTACTAAACAGTAGGTGGGCTGAAAAGGAAGAGAAATCAGAAATTCATTTGGGAAATAAAATAAAATAGTGCTTCTATGACTTGCGAATTTGATTTAGATATGATAGAGAAGATTTGTAGCTCAGGTGGATAATTTTGATGTTGTTGTGTTCTCTGAGAAAAACTAGAGAAAACCCTCAACCAGGAACACCTATCAACGCTGATCACCGCAATTACATTGTCAAGTAGAAAACACAGAGAACAAAGACGAAAAGTCCTCAAAACCAAGCTAGCCAAGATTAGAAAACAACAACCAGACAATACACCCATAGACTGCGTAGTCAACCTATCAAAACAACCACTATCAAAAATGGAACAACAACTACTACAAAAAGGATTAAACTACAACACCGGAGATGCCTCGAAAACTGATTTCTTCGCTGCCCTTGAATCATTGCTCAAATCATCAAACTTAAAGGAGGAAATACAGGAAGAGATACGCCAAACAATTGTACCAATGGTCAAACAGAAAAAACAACACACACAACTCAACTCTCAAGAACTAAAGGCCCTCAAAAAGCTGAAAAACAGGAAGGACATCGTCATTCTACCAGCCGACAAAGGAAGAACAACAGTAATCATGGACAGAGAAGAATACACCAAGAAAGCTGAAGAACTACTCAAAGACGAGGATGTGTATCAACAACTCCCAACAAATCCCATACAAACACTGGACAACCGCATCCAAAGGACCTTAAACAAGCTTACCAAAACTGGACAGATCACAAAACAAGACCAATGGCGAATGAAATCCAGTGGACAAGTCCTACCCCGATTCTACGGCAGACCCAAAATACACAAGCCAAATATCCCGTTATGACCAGTTGTATCACTACCAGGAACTCCAACATACAATTTATCCAAGGAATTATACACAAAACTGAAACACCTAACGGAATCTTGTGATCACTCCATCAACTCCGCTATCCAATTCCTAGAGAAAATCAGAGGCATCTAAATAGATGAACAAGAGATAATGATATCCTTCAACTTCACAGCATTGTATACCTCAATCGGACAAAAACTAGCAAAATAAACCATGGAGCAATTGCTTAGCAACGACGAACACCTTCCACAAAAATCAAAAATGCAACACACAAGTTGGATGGAATGCATAAACCTATGTCTAACAAAATACTTCCAATTCAACGGCCAAATATATGAACAAGTCAAAGGAACACCCATGGGATCGCCAATATCAGGTTTGATTGCAGAAGCAGTGATGCAAAGGCTCGAGAACATAATTCTACCAAAGATCAAACCCAAGATTTGGATACGCTACGTAGACGACACATTTGTAATTATCAAAAGAAACGAATTAGATAAAGCTCACAACCTGATAAACAACATCTTCAACGACATCAAATTCACAAGAGAAGAGGAATCAGAAAACCAAATCCCATTTTTGGACGTCTTAGTCAAGCGAACAACGACAGGGGAATTAGAAACTCAAGTCTATAGAAAATCAACTCACACAGACCGAATCCTGAATTACAACAGCAACAATCCAATAGCACACAAGAGGAATTGCATACAAACACTATTCAAGAGCAGCCAGGACTCATTGCAGCACTCCTACCTTAAGGAAAATTGAAGAAAAATATCTCATGGACGTCTTCCAAAAGAATGGATATCCAAAGAATTTCATCAAAAGACATATACCTCCATGCCAACCTATCAAACCAAAAGCCCCCAAGGAAAGCACAAAGAAAATCGCCTTACCATATATAAAGGATATCTCAGAAATCACCACAAGACTCTCCAAACCTTTAGGAATTGACGTCGTACACAAACCAACAAAGTCACTTCACTCAATTCTATGTCAACCAAAAGACTCAACAGTGAAAGAAGATAAAACCAACATCATCTATAAAATAGATTGTATCAACTGTGAAAAACACTACATTGGCCAAAGTGGACGTCCCCTTCGTCTTCGTATCCACGAACATAAGCTAGCCGTCAAAAGATATGATATCCACTCCCTCATATCACTACATACAGACAACCACGGACATCAATTCGACTGGGACAACGTTCAAATATTAGACAGAGGAAACTACAAGAATGCTAGAGAATTTTCAGAAGCTTGGCATTCCAGTGAATCATCAATCAATAGACACATCGAGATAGACAAAATTTATCAACCGATAAGAAAGAAATGTCACACACAAAGGATCAAAGTTCAAGCCAAAGAAACAATGAGTGACAATACAAGTAACCTAGAAGGTGTGAAAACACACAAAAACAACCAATCACGTCCAAGGTCACCAGGCGAGATGATTAATAAACTCGTGGAGAAATCTAAAATCTCACTTCAAATTGAAGTATGCGCTGAAGATGTCGCCTAGTAGGGTGATGAAAGCTTCGCAAATTAACTCTCCAGCTCAGAGAACACAACAACATCAGAATTTGATTTAACATATTACCAGTTACCCGAAAACCTCGCCTAGTTAACAAGCTCGTTAGTTTTCTAGCCGGTCCCAACCCCAGGTAAAGAGGGAGGCTTGGGCGTGGGGCTAGCAACCCCACACCACTAAACCTATCAAACCACTAGAAAAACTTTAACGCACAGAAAATATATGAAAAATACAAAAACTTCAAATAATAACAAAATCTTATTCTTCGCTCGAATCGGAGAGGCGAAATGACACAGCAGGCTGGTGAAAGCCTTCGGGAAGCCAGTCAGCCAACCGATGTGTCTTCTCTCGATGAAAGTAAAAATAGGTATAGGGACGTGGAATGTTGGTACAATATATGAAGCTGGGAAGGCTCTCCAGGTAGCCAAAGACATGCGAAGATATGATATAAAAGTGCTGAGAATTTGTGAGAGCAGATGGAATGGATGCGGATTGTCAAATTTGTCAACTGAAGAGTCAGTAATCTACTCCGGTCATCCAGACGACAACCACGAGCACACTGAGGCAGTGAGTCACTATAATGACTTCACCAGTGGCAGCCAGAGCCAATCTTCTCCTGCAGGATCATGACAGTAAGATTCAACTCAAAAGGAATGAAGGTCACAATTATCCAATGCTGCTCAAAGGGCTACAAACAACGCGGAACAAGAGAAGAAAGAAGACTTTTACAGACAACTACAAACAGTAATGGACAACACCCGAAGTGGTGACATCAAAATCCCTATGGGCGATATGAATGCCAGACCAGCAGAGAGAAGATAATACAGGGAGAGAACTCACCATGGGTCGAGAGACTCTAGCTAGACGAAATGAATGAGAACGGAGAATTATTCACTGACTTCTGCGCTTTCAATGATTTGGTGATCAGAGGGATCGTGTACAAACACAAGGATATTCACAAAGCAACATGGATTTTGCCTGACGGACATACCACAAACCAGATAGATTTCATATCAATACTGCTTAAGGAAATGGAGATGCAGCCAGCCTGCTGGACACAAAGCCGAGAAGAGGAGCATATTTGGGCTCAGACCATCAACTAGTTCAAGGAACCTTCATCATAGTGAAGCTGAAATCCCTGAAAACAACTGGAAACAGGCCATAATTCAAGTTCAACATTCAGAAACTAATGGACAAAACTTCACTACAGATATCAGAGCAAAGTCAGAGACACTACGTGACATCACCGAGGAAACAGGTGGTCTCAACCAATTCGGCTCTGTGAGCTGCGTCAAACCAAGACCACCGTTGATGAGTCGGGCCCCAAACAAGCGAGACGGTCGTCCAGCATTTAGACCACTTAAATCTGACTGGCCAGCAATCCCTGCTGGTTGATGCGAGTGATATACAACTGCCCATACCAACCAATCAATAGTACGGAGTAGCACACTTGTACTCGTTTTTTCTGATCGGCACTAATAGTATCAAGCAGATCAGATATTGTGATCTTAATAACCTCTATTTCATAAGGAAACTATGGTAACTTTCCACGCCGATCTGTGTAAACTGAAAATTGTGAATTTGAGAAGAACATTTTTCGCAACAACGCTAAGAGTATAAGTATAAAACTTGGGCACTGTGGTAGAGTGCAACTCCATTATGGATAAGATTTTATTTTGATAAGTCACACAGTGTTACACAGCAATATTTACTGATGACCACGTTTCCAGCACAATTTATTGCCACTCAGAATCATATCAAGTTAATCACACAACCTTTTTCCTTCATTTATATACATATGTGGAATTGACTAGACATTTGAATAAAACCAATCAGAAATAATAATATGAGTGTTATTCATCCAATTACAATCAGATGGGAAATAAGACGAGTGTTTTTATAGTCATAATAAGTAACTTCTTAGAATGTTGTCATGTGCTTGAATTGAAATAGAATTTTGAGATTATTTATTATCCTCCTCTGATTTGACTGACTGGTGGTAATAATATCTTCCATATTTCTGGTATTTGCGTTGAGTCATTTCTATTGCATGTGTTAGGTGTAGACTCGATGAACCAGGCAGGATTCAGTAATCAACCTCTCTCTCCACCTACCTATGTTACTTCTAAGAATCTTAACCCTCTCCCGCCCTATTGTGTGGTGGTGTGTTAAGGCATGTAGTGCAATCGCTGAGTTTTTTTTCTAAATTACTTATCTTCTCGGGGTCAACCATTCTTACCTTAGCTAAATTCATATGTTCCGATAATCTGATTACCCCCGAACTACTAGTTTGACCTATGTAGTTGACTCAACTCACAGTCATTGCAATGTATTTTCTAAATTATATTATTTTGTTTAATTGGGTCCACCCCGACAGGGTCCTTTAGCCTGCAGACCTTGTCTCCGAATGAGTTTGTAGGTTTGAATGCCACCCTAATTCCTGCTTTTTTAAGAACCCTAC